AGAAAAATGGTAATAGCTGTTTTAATTATTGGCCCCTTATAAATCTCAGAGCTCTAAAATATCAAGGCGATGAATTAATTAATCACATTATTAATTAATCTGCAATTTAAAATGAGTTGGTTTATACAGTTCCTACTGTTTTTTTCGTATTTTTATATCTGGCGCTTGAGCCCTTTTGTAATTGTCTGTTCAATTATTGGAGGACATAAACCAAATTACCTGATCTGCTCAAATACATGCGTGTTTAAACAGGAAATACCGCCTGATGACGTTCCTAGGCGGTACGTTTTTTCACTTTTAAACGCATTTTTCTACAATTTCCAATTTCGGATGAAAACTAAGACTGCGAACTCGACTAATTGTACTGCATTTTGCAAAAAGGAACCAGGAGCATTGCAATGTTGCTAAGAATGTGCAACCTCACCCATTGCAATATAACGATTTATATGCTGAAATAATGTGAAATTTACATGGTAATTTTTGTCCTAAATTTACAGTTTTTAGCGAGTCAAATAGAACCTGTTCAGAGATAATTAGGTATTCATTCCTTCCAAGACAAAAGGAGCTGCACAATCTTAGCAATATTGTATTGCTCCTGGTTCCTTTTTGCAAAATGCAATCCAATTGGGCTGTGTAAGATGCATACATTTTTTCGTGCAAATTCTCCATTTTACCTAAGATTGGCGCAATATTACCACGACTTATTACGGAGGGAGGCCAGACAAGGGTTCGTCTGCTCGCGACTTGCCCTCGGGGTTCGAAGACGGGAGGGGCTCCGGGCTCCGCCGCGGTGGTTGGCGGTTCCGGATGGGGCGGTCAATGTTCCCGACTTCGCGGGGGGCGCGGGCGCCAAAAATACCCGACATCGCTATTCCTCTGCCCACAATGAAACATCTTCATCGTTCTACCCCGTCCCCCTTCATTTCCGACGCCATTCAAAGAAATTCGCTGCGAAGTAGTGTGGCACGGACGGAAACTCTCGGTTGTATCGAATGGAGATGTTGCATGTGTGAGGAATTCTGCCGTGCTAAGGAAGAACGCCGTATGAACATTCGAGAGTTGCCAAATTTCATTCAATCAAATGTTTATTTTTGAGGAAAGTTGTGAATATTTCCCCTTGAAATTTTTAGGGACTCTAGGTAAAATTGCGAACAAAATTATCTGAAAAATCGGAAGGAAAATATTCATAAGTTTACTAGGAAACTCGCGTTTTATCAAAGGAAATTTGGCAACGCCTGAAGGTTTATACGGCGTTTTTCCTTAGCACGGCAGAATTGGCGATGTGACTGTTGATTCTTTTGTAAAAGTTTGCGAGAAACACGATGGTGCCACTGGTTTTCTCTGAAATCAACTCCCAAGCTCAAAAAAAGCACTCAAATTGAGGCCAGAGTGGAGGGGATATCCCACGCTATCCTGAGAGTCCACCTCTACATCATACAAACTCTCCATGCAAAGATAGGGAGCAAATACATTGAAAGGGCTGCCACTTTATTTGGGGACTCTAAAACTGAAAACACGGCAACCCTGCTAATGTACTTACTCCCTATCTTTGCATGGAGAGTTTGTTTTGATGTAGAGGTGGACTCTCAGGATAGCGTGCGATATCCCCTCCATTTTGGCCTCAACTTGAGAGCTTTTTTTGAGCTTGGGAGTTGATTTCAGAGAAAACCAGTGGCATCATCGTGTTCTCGCGAACTTTGACATAAGAATCAACAGTCAAATCGCCAATTCCTCACACATGTAATATCTCCATTTGGCCTTTAAAATGTAAAGAAGAATACGTATCAAGAAAGCGACCCGATGCATACCTGTTAAACTCGGACCAAGTGTATCGTAAAACTGAACCCAAACCACTATTAGCGTAGTACGTTGGATCGGTAACCCCGCCTTTTTTATCCCTGACGATTGGGTTAATTAGTCGAGTCTGCTTTTGAGGTTTAAAACTTTCGCGGCTCGAAGATTATCCCAAGTCATATTTTTCCGGGGCATAATCCTCGAATCTTCGAGATCAAAGTGCTCAAGCTACACAAAGCGAAACTTGGAGGTTGAGCGGCTCCTCGGCCGAAAACTTTGGCTATCCTTTAATGCGTTTCAAAGGGACAGACGAATCCCTTCGATCACTTGCCTAGATACGTGGAAATATTCTGCCTCCGTCTCAGTCCCCCGCTCAAAATTCGCCATAAATCCTCGTCAATGCCGGGCGGCAGGGGAGGCTCCTAACTAGATGGAGCCCCGCACCCCTGCCACATCGTACCGCCCCGGAATCGCTCAGCGTCGTAGGGTGGAAACTCGGAATTTTCCGGGCCGAACGGCAACGCTGTATCGGGACTGACGGCCGAGTCGGGTAATCTAATGACTGGAAGTAAGGGGTAAATCATCAAGTCCACGGGGAAAGTTGTAAGTGCCGCCGCGGAAAACCGCACGACCAGGAAGGCAGCGATGCCAAACCGTGAGCTCGCTTTTCATTTGACGCAGTTCGATGGTAAATTGATGATTTGATATTTGCGTACCTCAATTGAGTAGCCTTCAGGGCCGGACTAAGGGGGTGGCCACATGGGCCGCGGCCCGCGGCCCATGGCGGCGAATCTAGAGGGCGGCAAATTTTGCAATTTTTGTAAATGTAGATATAAAAAAATATCGCATTTAGAAAAAAAATTACAAACGAGAAAAGGTGACAAAATCTCTCATTTCCTAAGAGTGTTGTAATTTTTAATTTTGTCGTATTTCAAAGATACAAGAGACAGCACCTTTAATTAGTCGAGTTAAGAGAGAAACCAAACACGCGATTTGGCCCGGAAAGGCGCGGCGCAGAGAGCAATGATGACGACGACTTGAGATGAAAAGGAGACGCCATCGGCGCGGCGATCAGCATGTAACACATATCAGCGCCTACAAGACTACATGAATACTTCACGCATTACATCAAATACGGTGCGGTCATTGCGGTCAGCGTGAAACGCATGGCGCTTACAAGACTGCGTGAATACTTCACGCATTGCGCCAAACACGACGCGGCGGCGGAAGTTAAAATCATTAAACCACATACATGTTTGTTCTTTCATAATTTTTCCGTTCATTTCTTATGAATGGAAGGCCTTGTCCACACAGAGATAGGTTTACAAAACTTAACTTTTGCTAGTAGTGTTGACAGGGCATCCCCAAAAAATGTTTTAAGATTCTGCTTTAAGTTAAAACTGAATTCAGCAGTTTCCGTTCATTTATTTTCAGTGACTTTTAGATTTTTAATATTTATATATTTTATTGTGCTCGATGCTGGTTGGCCTGACAATTAGGGCCATGCCCTAGTCGTTCGTGGAAGAAGAAGAAGAATTTCGCCGAAATTTTTCGGAAAATGTTTGGCGCATGCGATTTAGTTTCTTGAAATCCGCGTAGGCGAAAATATAAAACTTTTCGGGCCTCTATGACGCAATATGAATGTTCTTAAGTAATGGGGCTTTTTCTGAAAAAAATTTGCGCCTATTTTTTTAGTCTTTAATCAGGGGGCAGGGGGTGCGCGTGGCCCTAAAAACTATTTTTCTGCAATCCAGCGAAATTTTCATAATTTTTGTAATAGGCAACTAGAGACGTTAAAGTGTGGGTGAGCTTAAATCGCTCAACCCCCCCCCCCCTTGATGACATTCCGTTATTTTCTTCTCTTTTGAAAATGAAGGAATTGTTTAAAAAAACTCGGAAAAAATAATTATCTATTGACTGTTTTTGACGTAACAACTCGGAGGTTATTAATTTTTGGCCGCAAGTATCCAACTTTCAGGGCCAATCCGACAACACTGGTATTAATGCCATTACTCCTCGACATTATTTTTTGTGGAGTAGATTCGGCAACTGTGGGATCGGAGGTGGAATCCCTTGACCGAGGGATTTAACCTCGCTGTCCGCGCGACCGGCGACGCGCTTCGTCTTCCGCGCAGATGGAGCCCCCCAATAAAAGCCAGATTGGATTTCTTCGAAAGACTTTTCTGGTTTTCCCCCGGCTTTCCCTCCACCCAGACCCCCGAAATTTTCCGCGCTGAGAAGGCTCTGATCCCACCTATCTCTCCCAAGAACGCAGTTGTCGCTCTCCATGAGCGTTTGGACGTTTTTTATTTTCCTCCGCCTTGGTCTTCGTTCGAGACGGTAAATTTCAGAGGTACACATTATGTGTGTCCCTTTACAACACTCTTCGGCGCTCTGCGACACTGGACCGCCGTGTTAACGGCCCACACATTTGGACCGCATTAAGCAGAAAGGAACCAAGCCGCATCAGCTAATACCAAATTTAACGGGGCAATTTATTTTTTTACATAAAAACGGGTTTGCGGATTTTCTTGCTTTTAGTGAATTTTCTCGCTTTTAGTGAATTTTCTCCATAGTACCCATCAAATCCCTTAAAATTTTCAAAGAGATCCGCATAAACTTCCTCTCGTAAAAATCGAATTGCCCAGTTAAATTTGGCAATAGCTGATGTGGCTTGGTCCCTCTTCGTCAAACTCTGTCCATTTAATCGAATGTTTTCGTTGTACTTTCATTCATGTGTTGTAATCTTTGATGTCACACGGAGAAAAAAAACTCGTGCGTGGGACCCGAAGTTTAGGTCATATGGATCTCTGAAGTTTTCAGATTGAGCATCTGAACACTTTAGGTCTAGCTGCCGAGGTTCGGATCACACATCTGAAACTTCAGTTCTTACATCTGAAGTACTTCGGTTCTCACATCCGAAAAACTTCGGTTCTCACATCCGAAAAACTTCGGTTCTCACATCTGAAGTACTTCAGATGTAAGAACTGAAGTTTCAGATGTGTGATCCGAACCTCAACAGCCAGACCTAAAGTGTTCAGATGCTCAATCCGAAAACTTCAGAGATCCATATGACCTAAACTTCGGGTCCCACGCACGAGGTTTTTTCTCCGTGCAGGACGTGCTGCATATCTTGAGATTTGTAGGCGCTCTCGCCTCGAGTTGCTCGGAGCTGTGACTAATGTTGCCTATTTTTCATGTTGCAGGAGGAAGATGTCCGTGAGTAAGTTGATTGGGCAGGTGCTATGGACGAGCTTGTGCGTGCTGTGCTTGGTGTGCGCGGTGGTGGGCGAGCAGAAGCTGGTGCGGGAGCCGCAGGACCAGACGGCCACCGTCGGCAGCCACGTGACCCTCCCTTGCCGCGTCGTCAACAAGAGCGGGAGCCTCCAGTGGACCAAAGACCACTTCGGCCTCGGCGAGGAACGCAACATGCCCGGCTTCGAACGATACTCCATGGTCGGCAACGACGAAGAAGGTAAGATACAAATCATATTCCATCGCGACTCACTCTGAATCCGGGTTAAACACTGAAAAAAAATTCTCGGCGTTTTTACCAAGGTCCGTTGGTACTTTTACCATCTCCTTTTTTTTTACAAATTATTGGTAATTTTACCAAGACAGACTGGTAAGCTTACCTAAAAACCTGTATTTTTACTGTTTTTTCCAGGTAAGAATACCACTTTTATTGGTAATCTATTCCCGGTAAATTTTGCCATTTTATCTCGGTAATACTACCACAGTCGATACAAAATATTGGCGTTTTTACCGCCCCCAGTAAAATTACCGAGAAAGGTCAATAATTTTACCGAGATTTCTCGGTAAAATTACCAATTCCATAAATGGTAATTTTACCAAGAAAAAACTGGGCTCAAATAGAACCCTGAATTCTTGGTAATTTTACCCTTTTCTTGGTAAATACACTGATATTTTTTTTTCAGTGTACAAATCATATTCCATCGTAACTCACTCTGAATCCGGGTTAAAGCGACTGAGAGGTACGATTATCGCAAGGATCTTGAATAGATTATGCAAGAGCCGTTTGGATTTTAGCGCCAGGTAACCAAAAGTGGCTCCACACGGAGTACAAAACTTCGTGCATGGGACCCGAAGTTGAGGTCTTATGGATCTCTGAAGTTTTCGGATCACGTATCTAAGAACTTGAGGTCCAGCTGCTGAAGTTCGGGTCAGACATCTAAGTACTTCGATATGTACCAAAGGAAAGAAGTAAAAGAAGGAAAATGAAACGTTTATCCTTAGCTCTCAATGGGCTGTGACAGAAAATTCTACGATTCCTCGCTTTTTTGACCGGGCGAACAAGCTTCTCCCGTTGCAGAGCAATCCCCTCCCCCACCCTTATTCTTTAATTTGCCGACGACTTTAGACTGGAAAACTGCCGTGCCAGGGTAAAACGCCGCGCGCCGTATGAGCATTCAAATACTGTCAAATTTCCTCTTAGAAAATATTCACTTTTGAAGAAAGCTGTTTATATTCTTCCTTGAAATTTTCAGGGACTTCCGACCAAATTACGAGCAAAATTCTGTGAAAAATCGACAGAAAAATGTCCACTTTCCTCGAAAATCTATGATTTGTCAAAGTAAATTTGGCAACGTCTAAACAGGGCCGGATTTACGTTCTAAGCTAAAGCGCCCTAGGCTAAACTTAGGGTGGCGCCCTTAAAAGTAGGCGCTCTCGTGGGGGAGGGTGGGTCCCCCGGACGCCCCTCCCCTCCAAATCAAAAGGAGGATGTTAGGTGCCAGGAAAATGTTCAAATTCACCTTTAAAAAAACACGATTTTAAACAGTTTTGAGGTACGTTTACGTTTGGAAGTTGGTTTTGGAAAATAAAAAGAAACAAAAGACTCGTTGAATTAAAATAAAAAAAAAAAATTCTCAAAAATTTTGCGCCTCTCAGAATGTTGCGCCCTAGGCTACAGCCTATGTAGCCTATTGGTAAATCCGGCCCTGCGTCTAAAGGCTTATACGGCGTTCTTCCTTAGCACGGCAGAAAAGTTCATTAATATTTCGGCATGCGCCATGGTAACAATACAATCCTCGACGCTGCGGAACCCCAGAACGGGACGAGCTGGACTTCTTTCAAATTCGCCCCCTCCCTCCCTCCCGTTGATTTGAAGGGTGGAAAATGCACTCGCGGGGCTCGGGGAGGAGGGGAGGGGGTGTAGGCTCGGTCAAACGGAGATGCACAAGATAAATACACTCCCGAAATTCAAATTTTCAGACGCTGCGGCCCGCGCTCAAAGCCCGCCGCGCGCCGCCCGCGCCAAAGCTCGAAATAAATTAATTATATTTCGGAGCTTTCATCATCACGACTTCGCTCGAGTGGATCTGCAGGCCTTGCCTCGACTTTGCCAAACTAGGCGCAACCCCTCGTCCAGAAAAATCCTACAAGGGCACCGGAGGGATTAACCCTTCCAACTTCCGTGAATAATATCCACGAGAAAGGGTAGTTGGAATATGGAGGAGTGTCGCTAAAATTCCAAATCAAATCGAAAAAAGAAGAAGAGGGACAAAACATAAAGGACTTTGACGAGATTGCTTCGACTTAAAAATTCCCAGATATTGCAAGAGATTTACACAATTTGCAATACAAGGTCCTCTGAGAAGAAAAAGAGCGAAGTTCCTGCGAGCTGATTATTGAAGTTGATAGACAAAGCTATAGACAAAGAAGACATAGGGGGTATAAAGCAATCCTATTGGTTGAAATGGGTGGTTCTCATAGATTGTAGGGGAAAATGATAGACTAACTGTCGGGTCTCTCGTGGGTTGCCGTTAGTTAGTCTATTACCTACCTCCATTGTCCATTGCTACCACCCGCTTCTACCAATAGGATCCCTCCAAATCCTTCTTGTCTTTTTTGTCTATTGCTTTGTCTATCAATTTCAATAATCAGCCCGCTGGTCTTGTTGAGAAAGAATGAAACCGGCTGAAGGATTGCAAGTGAATTTTTCCCCATACTAGGAGGCTATGCCTCCTGAATGCTTCGCACTCCAACCTCCCGGAGCACTTTGCGCCTCAAGCGTTAAACGTTACTCTCATGATTTTAAACTGTAGAGGAAGATAAAGTGAGATATTCGCCAACTGATAGTTGTAAAGATGTAACGTGCTTGTGATAAAATGTCTGAGTACATACATTGATACGTAAAATCTGAACTATGAGGTGAAAATTGAGATTTACGGATTCAGAATGCGAGACTGATTTCAAAAACGGCCTGAAAAGGGGCAGAAGAGGAGGTGAAAGAGAATTGCGGGTCAAACCCCTCTCGTTGAGGGTAAAACGCATAGAGAGATGGACGCATCTGAGCATTAGTTCGTTCCGATCTCGGAGGTTAAGCCCAGGAAGAAACAGTATGCAGGAGCGACTGGAAAGGGGGGGGGGGGTGGAACGACTCAAGAGACGGCTCATTGAGAGAGAGAGTCGCGGGGAAACTTCACGGGTATCGGGAGAGGATTAATTGCACTTAAGTTCAAAAGACAACAGTCAGCCAAGCCGGTTGGTCTCCGTAATTTTCGGTCGCAAGTTTCGAGCGCGACCGCTGGATTCCCGGGGACGGGGAGAAAACTTCCCTTAATAAACTGGGGCCTGGGGAGCATCAATAAATTAACAAAACGCCGTTCCCCGGGCTACAATCGTCTCTCGCTCGGAGCAGGTGAAACTCGAAAAAATCGGGATCGAGGTATCGTGACCGAAGGCACCTTTAAATCTGACAACAATCGACCGGGGGAGAGGGGGCTTAGTTCGGTCGGCGCCGAGGGCTATGCGGAAAGCCTACGCTTAAAGGCGTGAAGAGCGTCCTCAAAGGAGGACGGAAGCTCGGGGTTGTGCGGGAAGTCTAGTTCCGAGAGTGAAGGCGTTGCCGGACCAAAGCGCGTTGAAGCCGACGGAAAATTGACTTGGATTTTAAAATTTACCATATAACAGATTCTGCGGGGGACAGACTGATTTTTTTCTGATTTAACCGTGAATGTTGTAATAAAAAGAGCACCTTTGTCTGCCGTATGAAAAGGTTCAGAATTAATTTAAATCTCCATGCAGAGATGAGGCCACTGGGGTTGCCATGACTGATAGGACTAATATTAAAATCATCTCCTTCAAACTTGAAACTCATCTCAAAAAAAGGCAACACTACTAATATATTCAACCCTATCTCTGCATGAAGAGTTCAATTTAATGAGAAAATTTATGGTGATTTCAACTCTAAGAACCCCTTTTGAGCTGGGGATCAATTTTAGACCAAACCAATAGCAGAAATGGGAAAATTCCAGGCTTTCTTCAGAAATTATTTGAAGTTCTTATTTCAAACGGAAATTTTCCTCTTACTTCTCCCAGTTTTCTAAGTTTTCCAGTCCTGCACGGAGAAAAAAAAAGGCAACACTACTAATATATTCAACCCTATCTCTGCATGAAGAGTTCAATTTAATGAGCAAATTTATGGTGATTTCAACTCTAAGAACCCCTTTTGAGCTGGGGATCAATTTTAGACCAAACCAATGGCAGAATTGGGAAAATTCCAGGCTTTCTTCAGAAATTATTTGAAGTTCTTGTTTCAAACGAAAATTTTCCTCTTACTTCTCCCAGTTTTCTAAGTTTTCCAGTCCTGCACGGAGAAAAAAACTACGTGCATGAGACCCGAAGTTAAGGTCAGATGGATCTCTGAAGTAACTACACTTTTCAGTCGCACAAACGGACCTCGGTTTAGATTATATATCTAAGTGTTCGGCAACGAACGAGAGCTTCAATACATATGACATAACAAAAATTTAAGTACCTTGAATTAAAGTCGGTATGATCCAAAACTTCAGTTATCTGGACTGAAAATTTCAGTTTTCCGTACTGAACAAAGATTTTCTCTCGGTCGAGGTTTGGGCCGCGTGACGGAGGGGGTGGGCCTGCCGCCTTAGGGGTTATGCATTACGCATATTTATATTTTAGAGCACGATAGAATTTACAATGGAGCACTAGACAAGGTACGAATTTCAGCATTCTGATTCATGTTTCTGAATCAAAATTTCACGTAAAACAGGATGCGCACAACGAAAAATACCAAAATCAACTCCTTACGAAGATATTTAATGATTCCTGATGCGTGAATTCAAACCACCCGCTCACGAAAACTCAATACTCTACGTGATTCGCATCGCGCGCTAAACGTTATCATGACAGCATCTGCGATTTAAAAATGTGGCAACCTCAATTTTGACGCTTCGGCTCAGCTATAGCAAATTGCTCATAATTTGAACAACACATGGTGGGAAATGAACATTACTCAATTGAGAAGCTTACTGAAACCGTTGTAGTGGGCGATTTGACTCACTAGGAGCTTTGAGTTTCTTGTGAGCGGGCAGTTCAAATTCCTCGTACCCAATGTGCAATAAAAACGTTGATATCTTCGTTAGGAGTTAGTTTCAGTAATATCCATTGCGCTGATCAGTGTTCCCAGGCGTACGGATATTTCCGCGCCGCGCGGACAGCGTACGGACAAAAACCTTATGGGAAAATTTTTCCCTATCTTATTTTGTCCGTACGCTCGCCCGGCCCTGTCCGTGCGTCTGTTTATCCGCTTTTGCGTAAGTTATTGATACAATGATGTTTAGTATGAAAGCCGGGTATCGTTTGGGAACAAATTAGATACTTTTTGCATTAATTATATTGTATTCTTATCAAAATTCAGTCATTTCATTTATGTCCGTGCGCCCTCAACAAAACAACAAAACAGCCGGAGCCGGAACCGGAAACGGAAACGTAATTCACGGAACACGGACGGAGCACGGAGCGGCACGGATATACACGAGCCCATCCGGAGAGCGTACGGACATTTTAAGATAGGAGCACCTGGGAACACTGGCGCTGATCGTGTTCTACGTGAAATTCTGGTTAAGAGACATGTATGAGATTGCTTAAATTCGTACCTTGTCCAGTGGTCCATTAGTGACGATGTGTAACGGGATTGGTGATTGTTGCAGGTGACTTCGGGTTGGACATCAACCCGGTGACGCTGGACGACGACGGGACGTACCGGTGCCAGGTGGCGCAGGGCAAGAACGGCGACCCTCGGATCATCTCGAAGCAGGCGAGGCTGACGGTGCTCGTGCCGCCGGAGCCGCCCAAGATCACGCAGGGCGAGTCCCTGACCGCCACCGAGGACCAGCACATCGAGATCGAGTGCATCTCCGCCGGCGGAAAGCCACCCGCAGACGTGAGTACTCGTCCGAAAAATTCCGTTAATGATTCAAATTTCTGCGGGCCCATTATTGAAATTGATAGACGAAGCTATGGACAAAGAAGACAAAAGGGATATGGAGGGAATCTATTGGTGGAAGCGGGTGGTTGAAATGGACAACACTGGAAAATAAACACATCGGATCTAGAGTCCAGACTGTTAAAAATATCGATAAGAAGAAATACTCTTGATTCAATCGAATTTTTGCTTAAATCAAGTAGGTACCAAGCCTCTTAATTTGAGCGGATTTCCTTTTGATTTAAGCTTAAATCTGATTGAATCAAGAGTATTTTTTCTTGTCAATGTTTTCAAGAGTCTGGACTCTAGATCCAATGTGTTTTTTTTTTCCAGTGAAAGGCAGTAGGTAATAGACTAACTAACGGCAACCTACGAGAAACCCGACAGTTAATCCATCATTTTCTCCCCTAGTCTATAGAAACCACACATTTTAACCAATAGGATCGCTCCATACTCCCCTATGTCCTTTTTGTCAATCGTTTTTTGTATCAATTTCAATAATCATCCCGCTGTTATGTAATTCCAATAATTTCTGTTAAATATCGGAAAAATATGTCACCCCCCCCCCNAAAAAAAAAAAAAAAAATAAATAAATAAATAAATAAAATAATTTGTTTTAATTCGCTACAAAATATCAAATCAAATCACCGGGTAATTCAAAACATTACCTGAGACGCATGCCCCTTGAGTTTATTATGCTCTCTGAAGGATTATAACTTCGAGCAGTGTGGCGCGCGCTTGGAGTCGTAGCCGTCAGTTCAAACTTCCCCCTAAAAATTCGAACTTCCCGCCTGCTTGAACGTTTGCAGCTCTGCCAACAGTCTCGCGATTTTAGCTAAATTTTATTGAGTAATTATAGTTGATGAAAAGAATCACCCGTAGAAGCGCAAAGTCTCTGATACTCTTTTCATTTCCTTTCGCTTAAAAGGGAATTACTAAGGCATAACCACGTACAAAACTCTTGATATTACGAGCAAGAAATTTTTCAATGGAGTAAATGTATGTTGACAGTGCTGGATGTTCAGATTTTTCCCGCCACTCCATCTCTACTAAATGGTTAATAATGTACCTATTGTGATATGATTCGATGTTTATTAAGTTCCGCATCCAATTAAGGCTTTCTTAATAGATGCATTGTTGAAATTCTCGCAGCATCATCAAAAATTGTCTTTCTTGTCATTTTTAATGAAGTCTGCTGTCCATTTTTAACTTTTCCTGGAACGGAATCAAAACAGATTATCTAAAGTTATCATTTACTGAGTTATTTCATTTTATTTTTTTCTAATAATTTCATGCTTTTCTTTTTTTCTCATAGATCACATGGATTGATGAAACAGGTGGTCAAAATAAGAAAATCGAGGAGGGTATTCAAACAATAACAGAGCCCTATCCGCTTGATGACAAAAAGTGGACAACCAAGTCCGTTCTTCAGCTGGTACCGAAGAAAGAACATCACAATGCAACATTCACGTGTCAGGCTCAGAATCAGGCGGAGCGATATTACCAAAGCGCTCGCCTCAAGTTATACGTCAAATATGCACCAAAAGTAAGTACATCTCACGATTAGAAGTGTTAACTAGACTTACCTAGAGAACTCTTAGAACTAGGTTCGAAGTCACCCCTTCTTCTGTCAATTTCTTAGTTGAGTCACTGTTTAAGGCTTAGTAGGGTTACAAATTTGAGGAACAATGGTAGAATATTGCAAGGATTTTTCATAGTTTTCTTAGGTACCTCATGCTACTTTTTGAACCATTGTTTCAGCAGGATCTCAGGTGCTTTCTGTTTCGACATTCCGATTGCTTATTTTTTAATCATTTTCATTTCAGGTCACTGTAAGCATTGATGGGCCTCTTATCGAAGGAAGTGATGTGCGACTCTCATGTTTTGCCGAGGCAAATCCTTCTGAGGTGACGTACCGTTGGTATGTCAACTCTCATGAGCAAGATGAGACAGGAACTGAGTTGGTGTTGAGAAACATATCAGCTGCCATGCACGACTCAATTGTCAAATGCAAAGTGAAAAACGCAGTGGGTGAATCAGAAGACTCCGAAACTCTATTCATTTCATGTAAGTTTTAGTTCCTTGCTTCATTCCAACAAAACATATAATTTGACCATTGATTTGGAGGTCAATTTTCTGCCTTTAATGTTGTTTTTTGAAGAACCAAACTATTCAGATCAAATAGCATCCTGAGAAAAACTATCCTTCTCGGTCACATAATGTGCTACAGAACTTTGTGTTAAGTATCAGGATCGTGATCGTTCAGATTGAAGAAAATTCAAGAGTGCTATTTCATCTGATTATTAGAGGAAGCTATAAATTTATTTTGGGGGAAGGGAGGATATAAAAAAATACCATGAAATGCATCAAAATTGCCTGAGAAGTGCTGAAATTTCAAAGGTGGGAAGAGGAAGGACTGATTATCTCACCCCTTACTCTTTCCTCTAAATGGCACTCCCAAGAAAACGCAACCGGTTTCACGATGTCCATGGAAATATGATCCCACAATAGTTAGAAGATCAAGTTGGACTATATGATTAATATTTTATTTTTGTAGATATGATAGGGATGGTGATTAGTCTTTATTAAGACAGTTGAAAGTTTGCAGGGGGTATGAGATAAATCAAACAGTTTGAGGTCTTTTCCACATTTGGTGTGATTGTGCTCACCTGTCATTTTTTCTCATTTCATCTTTTTTCCCCTAGATGGACCAGTTTTCCGCCAGAAACCACACTCCGTGCAGGTGGAAGAAAATTCTCATCTAACATTGACGTGTGATGTCGATGGCAATCCAACTCCAGAAATTAACTGGTTTCACAGAGGCACCAACTCTGTAAGTACATCCTTGTTCATTTTTTTCTTTTCTTTGTCCCATCTTTTTTTCCTTCCGATTAACAGCCAGATGAACCGATTTATTCTGTCATTAATTTTTTTTAAGTTTTCATCGTTAATATCCAAAAAGAGAGATAGAAATAGGGCCAGGGTCTGGTAAAATTTGCAACCTGTCTACCAGAAAATATTAAATTAAAACTAGCCATCCAAGGCTCGATTATTAGTAGTAATCAAGTAATCAGAAGATACCCCTATCCCTGCATAGTTCACAGTCAACCATTAGATTTTGTAAGCAAGCGCAAGAGAACTGCGGACCTCTTCTGCTTCCTTCGAATCACGGATAGAAATTTCTGCCGCAGTGTCATTTGCTTGAAATTTTTATGATCTTAGATAATTTATGTATTTTATGAAAGATTTTTAGATGATCTCACTAAAACTGTACTGTGCTTTATTCCAGATTGTTGGCTCAAGTGCAAATTTATCGATTATTGCCACATCGGACAAAGCAGGCCGTTACACCTGCCAAGCCACCGTTCGAGGATTCCCTCCAATAGAGGCAGATGCAACTGTTATCCTTAAAGGTCCGCCAACAATCGTCAGTCATAGATTGCAATTTGGGGTGCCTGGAGACTCCGTAGAATTGGAGTGCATTGCCTATTCTATCCCTCCTCCGCAGAAATTTGTGTGGATGCACAACGGGCAAGAACTAGATCTGTCCACCAGCGGTGATTACGTGGTATGTTCTTAAGATCTTTAGCCTCTTATGGCGTTACTGCAAACTACCTCCAATAATTTTTTTTTTACATTACTTTAAAAGCACGTAAATTAAATACGTACTCAGATTCAGGACCTTGCATACATCTTTTACTACTCTCTCGCACATATACTTTGACTGTGAAATCATATAGCACTATTACAAAATAACTCACATTCCATGCTTTTTGATAGAACTTTCTATTATTTTTACATATCTACAGTGAAACACGATGATCCACAGAGCAGAGTTTTCTATCTTTATGATAAACGCATCATGAACACAGAAGTAAGAATAGAGATTACAATACCTTGAACTTTGAATTCTACTCCCAGCTATTAATTATTTGTTATTATTTTTTCTTTGTACAGGAGATGAAAGAGCATATACCTGGAGGTATTAAGAGCAAGTTAACAGTTCGAGAAGCCCAGCAGTATAACTTTGGTGTTTACAATTGTTCGGTCTCTAATCAGTATGGGAGTGACACTTTTGAAATTATCTTGAAACCTCAAAGTAAGTCAATTTCTCTCTAAGTTTGCCTATGATTAAACTCGCTTAGTGGATTTTAAAAAATCAAGCAGATTCTCATTGATTCCAAAACTTAGTGACAGGCTGTAAAGGGGATCAAAATGATCAATAAAGGCACTTTTCATAGAGACCTCTGTTTGAAGACAACTTTGGCAAGTAATTGCTTAGTCCACAAATATTCAGACTAAAATTTTCAATTATAAATATGTTTTTCTTTTTTTATTTATTTAGTGGGCAATGTCAAATTTAGAAGAATTTTTGTCTTTCTAATTAGATCTCAAAGACATGCTCCAGATTTAATCATATGCTTCAATATCCAATACTGATTTTTCTTTATTTCTCAGGAAATTGTCAATTATTGTTGTTGTAGCCTGCTACGATTTTTAATGCTTATTTCTTTCTTCTTTCAGAAAATTTTCCATTGTTAATGTTGCTAGCTGCCATAATTGGAGGTGTAGCTGTTGTAATATTTGTTACTTTGGTCGTCATACTATGCCAGCGAAAAGAGAAAAAGCCTTCCGGTAATTCATATTTTTCAAATTCTTCTTTGGATTTTTTTTTTAGATGTTAGATTTCAAGTTTATTTTTTAAACAATCTAAGCAAAAGAGGAAGATTTTTAAGAGGTGTACAGTTTTTACTAAGCTCAATAAATTGAGCTTTTAAAGTCTCTCATGAATTAACTCTTACCAAGCTTGTCTGTGGAAATCGTAGCCGTAACATCCACGTTTTCAGCTTCTTTTGGGCAAACTAATTTATCCATTACTTCAACAGGTAAATCATCAAACAAGTTACATTTTCAGACACAATAAATTTACTCCTTTTTTTTTGTAGCTATAATAGGCTTGCAAGAATGTTTACCCACTTCTACTTTTATTTTCGACTCTTGTTCATTAATATATATATATATATATTTTTTTTTCAGCAAATGATTTGGTAGACTCAGAAAAACAATGTAAAGAAAGTGACCGATCATCTAATATATCAGATCTGAAATTAGAGCTACGAACAACCGACTTAGACTATGGTGGTCATGAGAGTGAAACCAGTGAGTCAGTAGTCACCAGAGTTGGAGTGCCTCTTGCTGGACCAGTGCCCTTGTACAACACTAGATTATCAACCTCAGATTGTAATGAACCTGTCTTCCCTCCAAAATCTGTAAGTGACCCTTATCATGCTCAAATTGGTAATCCTTACCATACATCATCTAGCCTTACCTACCTACCTTCCTCCTATATGGAGCTAACCTTGAATCTGGTTCCGTGAATAGACCTGTATTAAGATAATCCGTCCTGGGTTATTGCCTGACGTGCAATAAATTGCAGCAATCTAGTAAAAAATCCTGGTAGATTTTAACTTTTTAGCCAAAAAAGGACGACAACCCCAGTTCATGAGCCTAAAATATCATTCTCAACCAAAACAATTGCAAAACTCTGAGAAACGAAAACAGCATTCTTCTGGGAAAAAAAACCACCCCTCTCTTACTGATTTTACTCAGTCACATTAATGTCACAATTTTTTTCACATATGAGACAATGTATGGATTAAGTATTATTATAGCAAATCTAGAAGGACGCTTGTCTCACAAAATTTTAAAATTTTTGTTTTCTAGCTATTTTTCCATAGAATTTGTTGCATAACAGTACCGCTGAAATCAACTAATTTTCAAAAATTATCATTTCAGGATGGTCATAACAACAATGGTTACATCCCGTACGTAGATTATCAGCGGGACTACAACCCTCCACCCCCTCCTCCAGCACCAGAGGGCGTTGATGTGCGATATTCTGCCACGTATGGCAACCCATTCTTGAGGACAGCACCTAGTCCAGCCTTACCTCCACCTCCACCCCCATATAGTTCGGTGAGAAACGGTGGTGTTCCACGGCAACACCATCAACAGACAAGCCCTACTTCTCAGTACATCACGCACCAGCCTGCGGTGAAGCGAGGTACTCTGGCCACGCACGTCTAACAGCAGGCTCCTTGCCTTAGGTCCATTAATCAATTCTGTGTTCATTGACTGTTAGGAAACAAATTGAATTTTTTTATCTGTTGCTGTAAATACTGTACGTAATGTAAATACTTTGTTGTCTCCAAGGCTGGAAGTTATTTTCAGGCTGGCTTTCCTGTTTTTCTAAGTAATCGAATTTTACTTGAAAATCTTCCTCAAGTCATATTAATGTGTAACTGCTCCCTCCCCATTCTTTCTAGTTTTGTTGAACCATCTCTGAAACAAAAAAAATAAGTGTATTGTGACATCATTTTTCAGCCGGAGACATATTTGTGTTAGAATCATTTTTGTCACCCAACTTTATGCGGTCATCCCTAACTGTGTATTACAAGTTTTTGAAGAAACGCTAATAGGTATCTTTTTGTCTATTTCCTGCGAGAAAACAATGTTTTCCAGCATGGCACCACTGAGGTGCACTTATTATTCTCTTAGTGGGAAAGAAACTATACCAATTTAAGTTTTACCCGGCATTCATCAATTGTAAGAGGTTTATATTGAGAGCGCTATGAACAAGGTGTCTTTGTAAAAACAAACAAAATTCAATGAATTTCCACCAAGTAATAAGTTTCTTGAGAAATCGTTTACTTTATCTTTTTTTTACTCTTTACATACAGAGATAACCAGAACATAATTTCACTTCATTAACCGTTCATTTGCACTTGGATCCAAAATTAGTAAGTTACTGTCTCCACCTGCAGAAATATTTAAACCACTTTTCATTACGAGGTACAGTGGCTGGAGCATTCTGATAGTCTCTTAACATTTTGGTCATGACAACCAAACTTTTATGCCTCGAGGCATGTAAATCTTCCGGTACGAACAGAGACTTTGAGAATCTGTACCAAATATAAAGGATTCCTATTCTAGAAAAGCTCTCTTAATTTTAACCTCCTCTTTATTTCAAAATAAGTTTATAAATACAAACACTAGAGATGCAACATTTCATGAAACAGTTATGAAATGAAATTTTACTGTGAAATTTTTGAAACTTCTGCAGCCACTTTCTGCATGCCATGAAATGCATAGAAATGGTACAATCTTAATTTTTTCAAAAAAGAATATCACGAGTCGAATCTCTAAGTTTCTAATGGAATTTCCGAAAACTTTCGAGGGTTGCAGCCCCTGGAAAATTGTCAAATCCTCATGGAAAATGCAGTTTCGCTTTTCAGTGAAATGAAATTTCATTTTGCATCTCTGGCCAAGACTGAATCTCTGTATAGATCAATCGTTAGAGTTGCTGAAATCATCACTTGAAAGTTTGAAAAAATGAGTCATATTATCTTGTTAATTGTAATTTAATAGCTGAATATTTGCAAACTATTTTTAGGAACTGTTGTTAAACTGTACAGGTGTAAAATTGTTTGCCAGTGAATGCTTGATGAAGCAAGTGCAATAGCAGGTGAAGAATGAACTAGTGAGCGTTTATTTCTTGTCAAGGAGTGTTTTAACTAAAGTTGATAGCTGCAAGCATAAATTAATTTATCAATTATCTGGAGCTAAATAATAACATTAAATTAACATAGAATCATGCCAAAAAAATATTAAAAAAATTGCAAATAGTTACTGCAAGCATTGACCGTCGTTGAGATATATGGAAATTGCTCATTACTTATAGAAGATGATCTTCTCTGCGATCCCTATTTTTCCCTGATTTAAAACTATTCTCTCAGATATATCAATCAGGCGTCATTTATTTCAAATCAATTGTACTTGCACCTTTTCTGCTTTCTTACTAAACCATGCTTTGTTGTATTCCAATGAAATTCTCATTTTCATAGGAGAATGATAAACTTAAATAATAGTATTTTAAACGAAAATTGGAAAGGTCTCCTCACCAGAAACCAATTTTGTCCTAAGGAAAAGTTTTCTAGGAACTATTTGCATGATTTGTTGATCATAAAAAATTTTAAACGGAATCGTTCTGTATAGATATTTTAGCACTATAATGTTTAAATAATTCATTTGCAGCATAGTTTGACAAATTTTTTCATTATGATTTCATAGGTAATTACCGGTGTGCAGGAAACTACACATGAAAGACCATACAAAATAACATGAGTATGAATAATTTGCTACCAAATTCAAAGACCAAATAAATACCTTGACAAACTGCCACCCAACTCAAATAACCTTTTTGACACGTTAATGCGAACAAAACAAGGAAATAAACTTGCTTTCTCTTCTCCAATCAGAGTAAAGAAATTGCTGCCTAATTAGATTGTAATATTAATTTTATCAAACCTTTTCATGAACAAAATTGCAACTCTTTACCTGGGTTGCAGAATCATGGCCTATTCTTAACACTTAATCGCCTAAAAATAATGAAGTTCAAATAAAGCAATTTTGAGTTAATTGGATAATTAACTCACATGCCAATTACTGTTCATTAACAACAATATTAACATTTCAATGAGTTTTTTTTTAACATTTCATGTCGTCTTTCTCGGGAGGAAAAAAAAAAAATCTCAACCACAATAGAAAAGTTTTAAAATGCTTAAGTTTTAACTATTGATTCAAGATTTATGTTTTTATTTTGTTTCTTTAGTAGTAGGTTTGCAGAGAATTTCAAAAAATCTTTGATCGAAAGTTTTGATAATGCAAAGTTGAGATAAATATTCCTATTGATAGCTTTATGACCTTGTGAATGGCTAAACTCGAAAAATACAAATCTCAATGGCAAAATTTAAAAATCTCCTACCTACCATGTTCTATTTTCTTCGAGGAAGACAGATCAAAATGTTTATTTGCAATTTTGTGTGATTTTTTATTTTTAGATTGAGTGAAGAAAATTCACAGAAAATTTCAATAGAATTGGTTGGTTAGTTTTCCTTTCAAAGAATTAAAGCATGAGCGGAGACTTACATGTCATAGTCTGAGATACTCATTTTTCGACTTTAGCTATCGATACATTTCTCTTTCCTGCCCTGAAGCTGCATGTTTCCACGACTCATTAATTTTGTCACTTACTTGGGGCCTTCACCTTATTATACAAGTACACTAGGAAATCTGTATTTTGCAAGATGGTCGGAAGAATAATTTATTTGGAACAAGTATTCACCATCAAAATTTAGACACAGCCGAAACATTGAAGTCATACCTCCACATCGTAATGGGTTGGTTGCGCTAGTCTTAGAACCGTATTTTGATACTTTTAGCTTATATTTCAGCGAAAAATAATGGGATCTGTGTAAATGAAAAATATCTGCATCCATTATAAATGGAGATATCGCTCATTGAAAAACGGAGCATAAGACACCTTCCACTTCTGTTGTGCAAGCAGAAATTTTTACTTCAAAAGAATAAAATGGAAGTTCTCTATTTTGGTTTAGTCTGTGTTTTGCGACATGTAACCAGTACAAAAGTGTGTATCATTGATTGATGAAACCAGGGTAGAAGAAACCATGGTATGCTCTGCAGTGGTGGATGATGTCTTACACTGTGTTCTTCGTTGCGCGATTTCTTTGCTAATATTAGATGTGGAAACTTGCATAGATCATATTTTTTACAAATCTGTAAGCTGAAACCCATTTGAGCACGATTCCGTGACTAGCGCAACTGATCCATTCCGATTTGTGGGCTAACTTCAAGAGACTCAGCTCTTTGTCAATTTTTAACGTAAAATTATTAGCTGTATTATTGTATGATCTGGAGATTCTCTTTACTTTCCTTGTTGAATCTTACTGGTTATGTACTATTTTTCAAATTCTATTAGACTTTACCTATTATTTTATGTTATGCTGTTCTCATACAAATGAATGTATTTCCTGTCTCCATTAAGCGTTGATTTTTTAAAGTTTAACTGATTTATTTTAATTTCTTTTTTTCCAATCAAAAAAACATGAACAAATTTTAAACCTGCAATCAGCTTTTCCTCATAATCTCTCCATTAGCTCTTGTAATTTGTAAATATTTGTTATTTTTCTACCTTTGCCATTTATTTGTAACTTTGATTTTTGAGTGTGAGTGAATGTGTGCCAGTGTGCTATTTTTTTTCCTATTTTTTTCGCGCACTTCTTAATTACTTTTAAGAATTATATTTAGCTAATGTACAGTTCATAAAAGTTTGTAATTGTTATTTTTTTACCTGTATCAATTTATGTAATAATTGGATAGTGACGATATTTCTTTCCAATATTTTGTCGTTAAGACCACTTTTTCTGTGATATTTCATGATTAGAGTTAAATATCTTTCTATTATTGCAATAAAATCTGAATCATTATTTATTTAGGAAATCGTTTGTGTGTATGTGCATGAGAGCGCCTTTTTTTCGGAGTGTAGAGTGAGGACAGAAACCTAGTTTACTGATGCTAGTCATCAATAGACACAATGAAAATGTAACTGTTTGTAAATGTCGAACAATAAATTTGCGGAATGAATATGCATCAAAATCCTGAATTGTATAATTTAAGTATTTGTTCTGTCTTCACTAAAATTTGAATTGTGAAAGTTCAGACTATTTATTCCATTTTATTCATTAGAAGTCACTTGAAAATTATGAGTGAGTTAGATGTTACATCAGAGGAAAGGAAATCCTCACGCAACAGTTCACAACATCTGTATTGTTCATCATTTGATAAATTTCAAATTTTTTTCAAGTGGCAGTGCCAGAGTTGAATATATTTTTGTTTTATTTTATTATCTTTTTATTATCATTTTGACTCTCCAAATTTTGTTGCAATCCAAAAATATTGCCACTAGCCAGATGTCCTCACTTTTTATTTGACTCTCAAGAAGAAGCGCTTAGAGTACAACTGTGTGAGAGTATGTGTAAAATTGTAACTAAACAGAAAACTTTTGTAATTTTTGTTACTTTGTTCATTAAATTTGTCATTGGAGAACAAACGCTTTTGAATTTTTGATGAATTAAATCTTTTCTTTCTCATCATGAATTTTGATGTTTTTATTTCACTTTGAATACAGCCCCAGAATTTTTAAAATGATGATTCAGAGATGAGAGCTGAGATACTCCAAGTTTTATCTTGATGGAAGAAGATAAAAAAAGGCTGAAAGGCTCTCCAGACAATAGTGTTGCTTGTTACTTTGACAGGGAGCCAGGAATGCTTCTTTTTGATTTCCAAATAAGGGTCACAATAGTTGATTAAAATGGCACTTAAATGGTACCTCCTATGAAAAACTAATGGAGAAAGCCTGAAAAATAGCTGAAAAAATTTCTTTTGATGGAAATTGTTTTTTGTCTTTAAAAAATTGGAGGTTTACGTAAGACTGGGCTTGACCCCCTCTCCCCTTGCAAGATCTTATCAGGCAAGCTCAGACCATCTCCCTCCTCAAAGTGGCTTATGTAAAATTAGAACAGCCCCTCGTGGATAAATTGGAGTGGTGAAATAATGAGGAGAAATTTAGGAAAAAATTCAAGTCTTTTAATAAAAATTTCAAATAAAACTTAAAAATTAACAAAAATATGATTAACAAATAGTAACTGAAATACTACAGGGTAGCTAAAAGAAATGGTGTCACATGCAGTAACGATTTGGGGCACTTCCGAAGCACTCAAGTTGATTGTAAGTTAAACAAATCTGACCATAAAATTCTTTTGACAAAAGCCACTCTGAATTCTTGTTATTCACAGTTAAAGACACATCCGTTTCATAATTGATTAGCTTTTTTGAATAATGTTTTTTCCAAGAACAATGAAGTAGTTCACACAATCTTAGCAGCATTGCAGAGAGTATTTGAGTGGTTATGTATTCAAAGACAGTACTCAATGAGGCTGACAGGGTACAAACTCAAAACCCTCCTTTACATGTAGTCTCTTCAAAATTTTACAAAAAATAAGATTAGCACAGTGTTAAGTAAACAAGTTGATATCTTGCTAGGGAGTTCATTTTCGAAATTTCTGTGGTATTAATTGCTTTTACCTTGAATTTTAAAGAGAAAACATAATCTGGTGCTTTCATTCATACCTACTTTAGTGGCCATTGAGAAGTAAGCTGTACGCGCTTGAAGTAGCTACTGAGCCACTGGAATAGCGAAATTTTAATGCCTTGGTTGCTTTCTTCACCTTGTAAAGATAATGTGTTGATACCTTGATCGTAAAGCTAAAGAGCCTTAGTTACATCTTATGAGGTCTGCAAGCGCTCTTGGGTGCAGATCTATATGATTTATACTAAGATTCCTGTGTTGAAAAACTTTCAGCAGTTATGAAAGCTGCATTTTTCTAATTGAATGTAAGTGCTGTTGTAAACTGCAAGATAGGTTCTTCAAAGGAGCAATCCAATTTTTAAAAAAATGAAGCACTTCTTATCTCAAAAATTAAATTTAAGCTGCGATTTCTGAAAATTGCATTAACAGCTGCAAGATAATCTTGTGGTTCAGCACTTAATTCCTTCCAACGGCTACAATTTCTACTATGGTGAAGAACAGAATATGATATGCCGTACAAACAGAGGCAGACTGGCACGGAAAAAGTGGCTCGGAATACCGGTTCCATCAGAGCTAAAATCGGCCCATTTTAGTTGTTTTCTTGCCGTATAAGGGATGAAAACCAGTGCTAAATCACCTTAAATTTTGATAGGCCGACCAGGATTTTTCCCTATGTTCCCGCCTGCCTGTCCGCCTCTGCATACAAAAGCTTGGGAGCTTGGGAGCTAAAGTTGGGGATCAAGAATATGGCATCATTTTATGTCAAAACAGCACATAGATCATACAACTTGATGCGAGGGAACTGGAATGTTTACGTCCAGGCTAAAAACAAAGCCTTACACTCACAAAAAATGTAATATAGATTAATATGTGAGAGGCAAATCATACATTTGACATTCACAAAAAAAAACTAAAAAGGTACAAGTAGAAAATGGTGCTAAAAAATGCATAGCCACCAGGAACAGCAAGACTCTTATGTTCTTCGGAAACCTAACCTCCATTTCTTCCTGAAGATACCTCTTTATGTGCAAACTCAAAGACCCAAAATACTCATGATAAATCTGAAGGAAAAAGGACTAAAGGTGAAAACCATAAAAATTGAGATGAGCAATATTTTCACGAAGAAGGGTTGCTTCTGAATAATTTGCTACGAAAAGCTCTA